TCGGGAGATACTCACCTCGGCAATTCAATCATCTGTTGTGACTGAGGAGAAATCACTGTAGAGTTGTCGTGATTGGAGGACAGGGTCTTTTGCAATACTCTAACTATTTGCATTCAGTTTAAATACTAGCTGCCATCTACAAAACTGTCATACATAACTGACTACAGTGCAAACATCTTCAGGCTGGTAGGTCAGCTCAGCTTTTAATCTTTCTGCTCAGGTCCTGCGCAGCATTACATTTGAGCTAATTAAGGTGTGCTGTTTCCTAGTTCAGCTAGTTCATCTGGGCATGCCTGAAAATACCTTTCTGTGCTTGCATGAAGATTATTTGGGGTTGTGTGAATTTACAGTGTAGACATGCCACCGAAATTATGTTAATAGGCCTTCCGGTGGTAATGTGTGTTGATTGAAATAACTCCAAGCTAACTTTTTGCTCATCAAGATACGGTCTTCGAATATGAGTATCCAGAATGTATTTAGAAAAAAACCTTTTGGTTTTTGATCTTAGACTGTCTCACCAAACTGTCTTAGTTGAAAATTTTGAAACCTGTGTCACAGCAGTGGGAAAGCACATGGAATAAAATTCTTAAATAATATCTTGAATTATTATAAGATACCTGAATTTTTCCATAACTCTGTCTTTGAACTGTTAGTACTGACAGAAGGAACCATATACTGTGGGAATGAAGATCTGAATTATTATCAGGTATTTTTCCCAAAGTAGTTTGTAATATGAATGGGAATATTATTTGATTACCTTCAATATGCTCTTTCTGCCAGTCTCCTGCTCTGAAAAGCTTTGTAAAAATTTCAGTAGAAGAGGCAGACAAGTTAACAGCTGTGTAGTACTTTGGACCCGTTTGGACAGAACTACCAGCTTCATCTTGTCTGAGTGGGGAAACAAAACTTAATGCAAGTATATAAGCTTTGCAAGTTTTCTATTCTTATCAGATGAACTGCTAATAAAGATAAGGTTGAAGATAGAAATTGCAAGCAAAACTTGTCAGAATTTCACATAAAGATGTCTTTAGGTTAGTCTCTAATTCAGCCCCACTTTTGGAACATGGTGATTAATGTATTTCTTGCATCCAGAAGTTGAAATGCTAGGGTAAAGGTTTGTTTTAGTTATCTCAGTTGAATCTCTGAGTCTGCTTCTATTGGGCAGAGTGCATACTCTTGCCTGTGAGCAGATTAGCATACAGGAAATTCAGGTGTCTGATACCATGTTCTTTGTGGTGTCCTTACTCTGTCACACAACTGTATCAAAATACAGTGGTGCTGTAGGGCATCTTCCTGAAACAGAGAGTAGTTTAGACCATTTCAGTAGCTGCCTTTCTTCAGGCTTTTGGGCTTTTAGGTAAAGTTTCAACAGTAAACTTTATTGGGACCTAGTTCAAAGTGTGAGAAAGGGACTGTAGTGATAGGACAAGGGGTAATGGCTTCCAGCTTAAACAGGGGAAGTTCAGGTTAGATGTAAGGAAGAAGTTCTTTACTGTGAGAGTGGTGAGGCACTGGAATGGGTTGCCCAAGGAAGTCGTGAATGCTCCATCCCTGGCAGTGTTCAGTGCCAGGTTGGATGGAGTCTTGGGTGACGTGGTTTAGTGCGAGGTGTCCCTGTCCATGGGAGGGCGGTTGGAACTAGAAGATCTTAAGGTCCTTTCCAAACTTAACTATTCTATGATTCTGAAGAGCCTGGTGTTAAAAATTCAAAGATTTTGAGAATGAAGAATGCTTTTCAGTCTCCGGTCTTTGTATTCAACAAAGAATTGTGGGTATTGTGAAAGTTGAGGGAAATGTGTATTTAAAAGTTAATGAACTCTGAGATTTTTTTCTGTCTGTATCTACTTGTTTTGTGAAGAATTCTCTTTCCTCATTACTTATTAGGAACTGTCAGATACCTGCTTAATCTCTTACATAGCTAAAATATTGTACTTCCTTGTTCTGTGTGCACTGAATTTTATTTTTTTTCCTGAAGTTTATTTGTAGTATTGTGTGAGGATTGCTGATGAACTCTTGAGTTGTGGTAGCCCAGGTTATCCAGATGCATGTGAACTCATGCATGAAACAATTTGAACAAGTTAAAATGCTTATCTCTTTTTATTATACAAAGATTAAAACTATATTATAAAGCTCTTCGGGTTTTTTTTTTCTGTTTTGCAGGTAGAAAAAATAACTGGCCACCTCTTCCTGAGAATTTTCCAGTAGGTCCTTGTTTCTACCAGGACTTTTCTGTAGACATTCCTGTAGAATTCCAGAAGACAGTAAAGGTTATGTACTACCTGTGGATGTGTAAGTATTTTTAAATTTTTTATTTTTTTTTTAAGAAAACCAAAAGTGCCTATTCAGACTGATGATACATACCTGCTGCTTTGGCTTTTGTAACATCTGTAATGAGAAATTATTTTAAATTCAGAAGTCAAATGTTGAAATGAAATATTTTTGTTAGTTTCAATTTTACAAGTATTGAATTATTTCATACAAAGTTCCACAGAAAAAAAAGGAGAAGGATTATCCTAAGGCAGTTTGGTTCCAGTATACTGCAGTTTTATATTTTGGTTTAAGTATGTCTGTTATTGTAAAATGAGCTTTGACCATTTATTAGCTTCAAAATAATTCTACTAATTCTAAGTTTTTAAAATCAGCTTATATATTAAGAAATATAATTCACTATCACTGTTAATAGACTTGTGAGTTTAAGTAGTATAATCTGTATTTGCTTTAATATACATAGTTTTGTATCGTTTAATATAGTTTTTAGTCTGTATTGGACACTTCATATCATTCTAGTCTATTTAAAAAAATAGTACAAAATAAATCAGCTCAGCAATCAGTCCATGTTAAAACTGTCCTTTGTATGCAGAGAATGCTCTACATCATCTTTGCAGAGTTAATTTTGTCCTCATTCAGGTGCTGTGTTTTCACTGGAGAAATGCTGGATGAACTAAGTGTACACATGCCAGAATACTTGCTTCTTTTGCCTTGTCCACTGTGATGAGAGCCTAATAATTACTCTGAGACTGAGGAAAAAGATTTAGGTGCTTTGATGCATTTAATACATTGTTAGAATGCTAAGGGAATATGAATTTAAGAACTTTCCTGTATTTTTTTTCAAGGCTTCAGATTTAGTTAACCAATTTCTGTAAGTTTATCTGGTAACCTTATTACTGTGATTGAACCACGTAATCAATACACATAAATGAGCAGTGAGCATTGAATCAAGTGAATTCCACTTCATCATAGTCCATAGCTGTCTGTATTCATTGCTGGGTCATTGATCTTGAAATAAGCAGCTAAATCCACTGTAGAATATACGACTAGTCACTCTCGTAAATCTGACAAACATGGAAGATTTACATGGAATCTAAGATCAAATACTCCAAAATTTTAGGATAGTTATTAATTCTGGTCATTTTCAGGACTGAGTCTGAAAGTGCTGTATGTTTCAAACACTGGATGAAGTTGGGCCATGAGAATTGGAATATTAATACTGTTTTTCTTTCTTCTTATGGCAATAAATAGAGGATGCAGCAACATTATAGTATTTCAAAATATGTAGGAGTTGTGCTTTTATAATAGTGCGACGCATTTTCTTCTAGGTAGACTGAGCTTTTTAACTTAGTCCTCTTAGTCTTTTCCTTCTTCAGCTCTTTTACTCTCTGACTTGGGGATTACTCAGGAATGAAGGAGAAGGGCATAATAAAGGAAAAGAAAGACAAAATCTTCAGTGTAAAAAAATATTTAGTACAGGATTCCATGTGTTAGGGCTGGCTGTTAAATCAGTCCTTGTGAGTTGACTTTTCCAGGATTGTACCTATTTGGTTTGGCTCAGTTTTCATTAGAGTGGCTATGCTTCATCAGTGGAGACACTTAGTACCAGCCTGTTTCTGCTTTCTGCTCTACCCTGTATTTTATTTTCTCCCCCAGAAATTCATAACTCTTGTAAGGTCTGGGGTTCTGTGAACATAATCACATTTAGGTAAATCTAGTATTGAGTACTCAGCACTTTGTAAAGTAGATTAGTTTTCCTCTTTATTTTTAGCAGTCATAGGAACAAACCTCTCTGTTTCAGTTTTCTGTGTGTTTTCATATTGGCAGCAGTTTTTGTATTTTTACTATTGGTCTTTTTGTCTCTGAGGAAACTTTTTTACCTGTTTTAGATCTATATGCTCTTCATCTCATGAGAAAACAAGTCTGTCTGTGTTACTATTCCATGAATTCATCTATCTTTTCTCTACATGTATCGGAAATCAGAGTTTTCTTATTCTTTGATGTGGTTTTATCTTTGCGCTTCACTGTTGTCATTTGTCCCCATGGGAGAACATTTTTTTTTTTTTCCCATTTTACTGACTTGAGTGAACTCACGTTTTTGTAAACTGCAGCAATCAATTGGCAATGGATTTTCTCACCTACCATGGAGCTTTTCTATTCTATCTTAGTGACCCTTGCTGTTTAAGTGGCTTGCAGAATGACTGTTTTCCTGGCTCTTTACCACTGAGCACTTTTTAAATCTTCCTGGGCTGTTAATAGTGTTTCTTGACCCGTATCTAACACTAAAAATTTTATGGCTCAAAAGCCTGTGTTTTCCAGCTACTTTGCCTTCACATTGAGAGCGTGTATAAAATGAGCAGTACCAATTCTTGAAGAATATTTTTTATGTAAAGTTACAAACTGAAGAACTGCTTAATCTCATGAAAGCTTTTGTGGTATTTGAGTTTGTCACTTTATATAGGTTATGAGTGTTTCTATTTTCTACGAAAAAAACTTTTTAAAAGTTTTCAAAGACCAGTGACTTAAAACTGTAGATTCTGGTAAAAAACCAATACCATAAAGTGCCAACTGTTACGGTATTTTTTCTGTTTAGGACACTTTCGTCTCATCTATCCTTCTGACTGAGGATATGATCAATAGCACATACATCAATCTGTGCTGATGTTTGTTCTGCCTGTTCTTGAGAACTTCCAAGGATGGGCACTTCATAAACTCCCTCCAAGCCCTTTCTCATGTGTTGCTGTCTTTTATTGTTAAAAGCTGTTTCCCAGCATATAATTTAATTCTCCTTTCTGTGTTTGATCTTCCCTGTACTGCCCACTGTTGTTATGGAGAATGCATCCCCATTAGTCATCTCCTCTTGGCTAAATTAGCATAGTTTACTCAGCCTTTCTTTGTAGGCTACGTTTTCTAGAAGTCTGATTGTTCAGTTGATTTTTTAGAGATTCATTCCATATTATTATGGGTCTTTTAGTGTGTAGCATCAAGAAATGTGGACTGTGTCCAGTATTTTAGTTGGGGTCCTAATGTACTGTGTAGAGAAGAAAAAGCACCTTCATATTTTTGATAGCAGGTGTTTGTTATGAGCTGAGCTAAGACTGTTTTAGAATATGGTTTTTTTCCTATGGAAAATTCTTAAGTTGCTTGTAAGGTGTGTTTGCACATGTTTTGCTCACTCCAGCTGCAAAAAGAGTTCAACAGACAAGGAGCAAAAAGCCTAAACTACATTTGAAGGCATTCTGTGCTCCAAGGTTGTATGTGATCAAACTTCACCAGTTCTGTCTGCGCTTGCTGGTTGCCTCATGGCTTCAAAACCTTTCATTTTATAGGCATCCCATTCCTCTTACTGCAGTCCATTACAGAGTGACAGTCCAGCTGATTCCTGGGAAGAAGCACATTCTTTTGTCTTGTGTCCTAATGAAAATTTTGGTTTCCCTGGAATACGATCAGTAAAACATTACTGAAATGAAACCTATTAACAAAAATCTATTTTCACAGAGTCCCAAATGGGACCGCAAAATAATATTCTCAAGAATGTAGATGCTGAATAGCATCAGTGCCAATTGTGGTCTTTATCTACAACTCACTTGAAAGCATTAATGTTTGATAAAGTGTAGTTAATTAAAAACATGAGCATATATCTAAGTAGAATTCTTCTGTACAAGGAAGTTTAATAAAAGTGGATTTGAATCTGGATACTTATTAAAATAATGTAATTTCCCATTGTTGACTCTTACTCTGGCATGATGAATGTCCTTTTCCCTTTTTTAACCTCAGCTGCTTCAACAGCTAAGCAAGGAGAAGGATTTCTTAGGTCACTTCACACTAAGTACTGTGTTGGTATAGCTGTGAAGTTATTGTCATATAGACATCACATGTTGCAGACTTCTGCCAAAGCCTTAGGTCATTTCAGCTCCCAGGTGGTCATGGTCTTAAAATAACTTGTATCATAGTTTAAGGATACAAGTAGGTGGAAGGTACTTAAAACCATTATGCTGAACATAAAAACACCTGTCTGTTCCTGCAGCAGCAAGGCTTGTCTAGGTCACTTAGTGAAGGTGCTGGCTCAAAGAAAAAATGCTTTTCTATGCTTTGCAGTGGACAGAGAGAAGGGCAAGTGGAGTGGAGAGAGAACTGCCAGTAAAGTGCCATGTCTTCATATGCATACTTGTTTTTTTACAGCTGAGACAGAAAGCGAAGTAGACCTGTGTTGCTGGTTTTATTGTGCTAAGAGGTATCAGTAGCGGGTTCAACATACTAACCCTCTTCTGCATCAATGGTTGTTCTTTTAAAACTTGTCCTGTTGCCATAATTGCAATTACAAAAAAAGGTAGTAATTTCAGAAAGTTCAAACTCCACCAGAACGTGGATGTTTCTAGTAATCTCAGGGGTCTCCCTATTTTCCAGTATTGACTACAGAATGAAAAAATACCCCATAGGAAGCTTTCTCATGTGTATCAAAGGAAGGCAGGAATTTGGTTGTGTATCCTTTATTGTGCTTTATGAAGCATACACACAAATTCTGAAATGAGTTGTTTTGCTGACCTCTTGTAATAGTGCTAAGCTATGTGGATGCGTTAAGTGCTTTTTAGTTAAAAGTACAAAGTTTTATGTTCCTAGTGATTCTTAGAGGACAATATGATTTGTCTGAGGGAAATGTTTTGAGTTTCATCAGCCTTTCAGGCAATGATGTGGCCATTTTGCTGTAAGAGTTTTCCTACTTCAGTTGATTTAGGACTTATTTAAGTACTAGTTAAGGTGTCAGCGAAGAGTTTGAGGAGTCTTTTATTCGGAATCTTTATTATCTTCCAGTTCTTTTATTAATCTTACCTTCCAGTAGAATGATTAAGATGTTTCCCTGAACTTGAATGAAAAAATCATTGCTGCAAGGAGCAGCTTGTGCACTCTGTTATAAATACTCGTACTTCGTCATGGCCCACAAAGACAGAAAATATCCTCTGAGGTGGCAAAAATCACTCCTGAACCACTGGTTATTGCTGAACAAAACCAGAAATTTATGTTCATTTTTTAAGTCTGGCAGAGCTAACTTCTGTGCCAGTTAGCATGAAGGTAGTAGATGTATTTTTTCTTAATACTACTGTATCGTTTTTTGTTCTAAGAACTAAATATATTTTAAGTAAACCATAATGTAGAAGTTGTAATGAAAATGTATTTTCTTTGGTAGAAATTCAGTAGTTAACTTGTAAAAAGTCTGCCAATGAGAAGATGATAGTATTGAGCAAAGAATGGAGCACCAGAAATGCAGATGTTTAAGACCAATGTTAAAATAAATATTTGAATATGCAATATGTATTATAGCTTCTTGCAGATCTCTTTTTACTGAGAAACACTTACTGGGTGGGGTTTTATTTTTGCTTGATTACATGGAAAACAAAAGAGCTTTCCATTTAAAGGTTTTATTTTTTTAATTTTTATTTTCCAATTAGAATGCATGCAGTGCTAAATATATGGTGCATTTTATGTAATTTATAAGCTTTCTCTCAAAAAATATTCACTAGTCTGTTAAATACCTGTATCCAGTAATTGCTGTAGAAAAAGTATCAGTTGCTGCAGCTGTGGAGACCTCTTTTTTTTTTTCATTTTGAGTCTGAAAATGTTTTATTTTTATGACATGATGTCTTCCTTCACCATATAGTACTTGGTCTTTCATATTCAGTACTTTCACACGTGAATACAGGGTTTCCTGAAAGTTAGAAAACTGTATAAAAATCAGCTATTGCTGGGGGTATTGAAAGGGTATTGATTTATTGTCAGCACAGTGATGTTTTGTTTAAAAATGCTCAGTTTGGGTATTACTTTAACAGTTGCAAACATTTATTGTATAAACATAACTAAATTAAGATTAATTTCCTTTTGCTTCTACAGTCCATACCGTGACACTGTTTCTTAATATCTTTGGATGTTTGGCCTGGTTTTATGTTGATTCTACACGAGGAGTTGATTTTGGATTGAGTATTCTCTGGTTCTTGCTTTTTACCCCTTGTTCTTTTGTCTGCTGGTACAGACCACTTTATGGAGCTTTCAGGTAACAACTTTAGCTTGACTTAGAATATTTAAAAACTTGTCAACATACATTAGCATTCCAGAATTTGCTTGATGATCATTATGATAATGCTTTAATATTCTTTCATTAGAAACAAGTAATGTGTTTGCCATTAATTCAGTTGTTCTATTTGAAACATAGATGGCGATAGTTAAGAATATAATGGAATATCCTTTAAAGTATTTATAGCTTTTACCACTGACAAAATATTTGTAGGAAATACTTAACTTTGGGCTGATACTGATAACAGTTTTCAGGAAAATTCTCATTAGATCTCTTACCCCTTCACACCAAGAATTTAAGTAGGTTAATAGTTAAAAGGGTCATAAATTTTTGGCTTCCTGAGAAAATTTCATAAAACTTTACGCTTAAAAATCTTACATTAAGTGACATACAGTGTCTGTAACTGAAGTAGACTGAGATTCTTAAGAATGAGGAGAGCAGGTATAATCAAACTACTGATGCTAATTTTTCCTAGCTTTTAGTGATCTTTGAAGGCTTCACAAGCATGAGGTGTTGTAGCTTTATGTTCAAGAAAAGAATGGCGATTTTGCATGCAAAATTGAACTTACTTTTTTTTTTCTTTGGTGAATATAAGCATGTAGAAATTCTAAATCCTGTACTCTTATTCTTCTGTATTTCTTTTGGATTTTGTTTTGGGTGGGTTTTTTTTGCTTGCTTGTTTGTTTGTTTGTTTGTTTTTTGGGGTTGTTTTTTTTGTTTATATTGAACTGATTCAGGATATCCTCAGTTAAAATGAACTTATTCTTGTAAAGAAAGATTGAATGCCAGAAACTGAAGTTGTGTGACCTTTAGACTAAATGGGATGTTTCTTTTTGCTAACCAAGGAGGACATACATCTTTAAGGAGTTGTATAGTTTTACTTGCTTTTGCTCTCTAGTAAATACATAGGTTTTCTTAGTGAATATTGATTGTTGGAAAAAGGAAAACAGTAACTTGCATATTCAACTTCAGTCAGTTGCTCAGATGAAAATTGAAATAGTTATTAAACTTAGCTGGTTGAATAAATAGAAATTAACAGGAAGAGCTGTTAATGGCAAAACCTGATTCTGTGACTTAACTGAATGATTTACTGTACTTTCTAAGAATTCCAGTAGCAAGCATATCATATGATCATTACTTTTGATAGTAGTAAGTTGAGGTCTTTGAGATTTTGCCTATACACACACATGCACATATATATATTAAAAAAAATATAAAAAAATATATATATTTACTTACAGCCTTTGTCAGGCTGGACTTCTAATAATTTTAACAGCAAACGTATTTTGTATATTTTACTTTTCAGCAGCAGCTGCTTCAGTATTCTGCACCATGTTGCAGAAATTCCGTATTAGTTTTAATTTCCTTTTACAAGAAAAATACTTTCTTCTCATCCTGCCAGCACTGTGAACTTCACTTCAAAAGTGGAGAAGAATGCTGTTCTTCATGCATTGTAGCAAAACTTCTGTAGTTAGTACAGGAGGCTCTCCTGTGTGCTGGACAGAACACTAAGTAAGGAATAGTATCTTGCTGCTATTCTCATCTCTGTTAGAGGCATAGATGGCAAAAATACTATCTTAAAGGAGTAGCTTTTGTAAATAAACACTCTGCAAAACCACAGAATTAGTCGTAGTTCAAGTCACTGCCAATAAATGAAAGCACTTTTCCTCTAGTTAATACAGAAGAAAATTTTAGATTTGTACAACAGTATTTGCAAAAGGGCATTAATTTACTGGCTGGTTTAATCTTTCCCCCCCTCTCTTTCAGGAGTGACAGTTCATTCAGGTTCTTTGTGTTCTTCTTTGTATATATCTGTCAGTTTGCTGTACATGTACTTCAAGCTGCAGGATTTCAAAGATGGGGAAACTGGTGAGTATTCTGTTTGCTGGATTGTTGTACTGCCTGTAAGACAAACACTCATATTTAATACAGCAACTGCAATAGAGTCTCTGTGGGTTGGGTTTGTTTTGTTTTTTTTTTTTTGAATCTTGTGCTTACTGGACTTGCTACATTTAGCACTCGCAAAAGGCATTTTTGGAGTTTTCTTAAGTAGGAAAGGTGGGTGAAAAGTACTGTAAGTGAGTGATGTACTTCTGTTGTTAGGCTGGTCAAAATTTTATCCTTCAATGTAAAACACTTTGAACTGTTCTTTTATACATTACCTCCTTTATTTTGGTGGTGTGTGGAGGTACTAATGCTGTATTTTAAAGATGAAAACAAAAACGTAGAGAAAATTAAAATAATTTAGACAATATACTGTTTGCATATAATAATTTTGTATCTTTAAATATTTCTAGTTATATTAATATACTTACTACTTATTAATGAAATTTATCACTAAAATTTGAAGAACGAGACAACAGTGTACCTGGGTGAATACAGTGGTATATCTTTGATAGTCATTGAAAAGCTCATTTGTCTGAGTCAACACCTTATTCTGAAATAGCTGATTTTTCTTTCTGATGCTTGTAAGTGTATAAGCTTTTACAAGAAGAGTTTATGCATATTATCTTCTATATGAGTCTTCGAGGTCTAATATTTAGCTCTTACAAGGAAAAGCAGTTGGTAATCGGGCAAAGTCATTGGGGAAAAAAACAATCAAACAACAAACTTGAATTACTAAAAGCATTGTTGTAGTAGCAAGCTGGTAGCATGGAGAGCTATGATTGGCAGTAGTGTCACAGGGTAATGCCACTTCTCTGCTAACCTCTAAACATATATAAGACAGATATTGCTTTAGAACTGTAGTGTAAGCAAAGATACAGGTTAATTATTTTTGCTCTCGAATCCACTGTTTTGCTTTTTATGGATGCATTGGTTGACATTAACAAAAGAAGAAAGCATTTTAGAGAGCCAGCTCTCCTTGTATGTGGAGTGTGCTTTTAAGGGTACTTGAGGAACGGGTATGGAGAGTAGCCGTATCATCAAAAAATGCTAGCTACAGTTTTGGAGTTTTGTGGTAGAGACCACTTGGACATAGGGGATATCAAAGCAATTTCAAACAGGTAGAGAGAGGGAAGTTTTAAGATTATTTGGGTTTACAGAAATTTTTTTGTCTTTTTTTTTTTAGTGTATGTTTAAGAATCTTTTCCGTATTAATGTTTTATTTTTCTCAAGGCATCCTGCTTTGTTGGGGTTTCAAGTTTGATATTGTATTTTTCTGTTGGGGTTTCAAATTTGAAAAATGGGGAAATGTTTAAAGTAGATACTGATACAGGAATCCTCTGTTAGTTAAGCCACTGCTATCTACTTCAGAAAAGTATCATATTGACCTCAATTGAGAGAGCATCACTGTGTGGGTACAATTAAATGAGTCTTCCCACATAGAAGTTCTATGGGGCATGTTTTGGGGCATGTTTTTTTTTTATGTTTAAAGAAGTTAGGAGATAACTTCTTGGGACATTTTCATTTCCACAAAATCTTATAGTCTTAAATCAGTGAAATGACAGTATGACAAAAAAATACTAAAATGTTGGTGAGCGGCTCTTAGTTTCTTCGTAATTCTGCTCAAGGATAATCATCTTTACTGTAATTTTTCATGTAGTTGGAAAAAATGGGAACTGAGCCTTAAAAGCATATCGCAGAACTGAAATACGGTTATGTAAAATCCCCATGACTTTTTCTTCACAAATATTCAAAGTTGATCAGAATCAGGAGGTTGTAAAGCTTCCCTTGATGTGGATACTTGTGGCCGAGTGGTTCATGTGCTGTGGTAGTAAAATTTGTCCTTTCTTTTTCCTTCAGTGGGTGGATTTCATCTCTTACTGGTCTGAATAAGAGTATTCCTGTTGGCATTATGATGATAATCATAGCTGCACTTTTCACAGCATCTGCTGTTATCTCATTAGTTATGTTTAAAAAGGTAAGTTACATGTTATTGCCCTCTTCTGTTTCCTGTGTTTGATCTGGATTTTGTTTTCCTGCAAATCCTGAGAGACTCTCTGTCACAAAGTAACACGGATTAAATTATATTCTTAGGGTGTGCCTATTAACAACTGCACTTCTTTGCTTGTTGTGGAGTTATGAAATACTGTTTCTACAATACATGTATCTTCTGCAAACTGAAATGGGGAAGGATAGCTGCAAGTAAGAGAAACTCAGAGGGAGTTCTTGAGTTTCCCTTCCTGTGGGAGGCAGGCCCACAATGAAGGGGTAGGTGAATGTAGTGGACACTCCAATTGTACCTGTAGAAGTCAGGTTGTGATTTCCAAATCTGTGGTAATTCGTTGGGCTGAGTGAAGTGTCATTCTAATGATTACTAAATTTCAGCTCAGACCAAATTAATTCTCATTAAAATCAATAGAGGGAGATGCCTGGCACCTCAGAAAATGATTTTCATTTCTCTGCTTCTATTATTTTAAAATTTGTTTCCAGTTAATGATTGCGTAGAATGAAAGCTCAATGAAAGATGCTTTTTCCCCTTGGTGCTTTTTGCATTCCGAAGACTTAAGGTTAGATACTAAAGTGCTAGTACATTTTTGATGCTGTTTATGTAAAATATAACAGAATTCTGCTGCTGATGTTCTGTCAATTATAATTATTCAACTTCTGTAACAGTTATGCTTAAAGATTTTCACATATCCAAACTCTCTGACCTATTTAAAGCAAGCTAGAAATTTTAAGCATTGCCTGGACATGTCCCTTCTCCGTATTTATTTTCTGCATAGATACTCAAGTTCAGCAGAAAGAAACAAGTGAGAAAAATGTATGGTGGAGCATTTTTTTTACAGGCTTCCTACCACATACATGTGGATTCTTTTCAAAAAACTGCATACTCAGATGTTACCTGGTGTATCTTTGTGGATGAGAAACAGTCATGTTTATAACGAAGATAAAAGTTACAACTTCAATTTTCCTGCTACAGTTGAATGAAAATGTCTTTGCAGTCTTGTTTGACAACTTTATTGTGACTTGATTGAATATGGGTCAGAAATAGCATTTTAATTTTAATACTCAGGTAATTGTAAATCACTCAGGATTTGGTTTTTTGTTGTACTAAAGGTTATACACCGTATCGTTTAGAGTGTTTGTAAATCATTGTTTAATACCTGTGCTTATTATGCCGAGCTATTGGTCATCACACTAGCTTAGCAGATACATGTCTCATTATTAGGATATTCTACACAGTTTAATATTCAGTCGTAGCTTAGCTTGTTCTTGTCACTGTATCAGAGAAATTAAGATGGTTTTTAAAAATTGACCAAAATGTTATCAACACGGTGGATTCAAAACTACTTTTTTGGTTTTGTTTCTTGCTGTTTTTTTAATGTGCACACTTACTCTTTTAATGAGTACAAGTTGTATACAGATTGAGACAGAAGACAGTTTTGTGAGCTGTGAGCCGTGAGCCCTCCGTTACACAAAGGGTGCAGCTTGTTTGTGTATTTAAATATGTTATTTCAAACAATAGATACCACACACATTTTAGTAAATACCTATGAGACCACTCTCAACTTGCAAAAAGTTAAGAGGTGTTCGTGCAGTCAAACTGTGCATGCCGTGGGGCAATCGGTTGTAGGATTTGTGGGGAAAAAGTCAGTTTACTCATCTCCAGATCCTCCCAAACACCTGAGCAAACCAGCTTTCCTCAACACACAGCTCTGCTTTGTGTATAAGGTGTTGCCGTCAGTCTATGAGGAAGTGGAAGGCTGAGCACTGTGTTTTCGCTGCTTTCCCTCTTCCCTAGGTGCATGGTCTCTACCGCACAACCGGTGCCAGTTTTGAGAAGGCGCAGCAGGAGTTTGCCACAGGAGTGATGTCCAACAAAACTGTACAGACTGCTGCAGCCAACGCCGCATCGACAGCAGCAACCAGCGCAGCTCAGAACGCATTCAAGGG